CTGCGAATTGTTTTGAACTCAATTACTTTAGAATCTATGTATAATCACCAGAATCTTCTATGTACGCATTAGTTCGTTTTCAATCGAAGGTTAATAAAATATTCCTGTTCAGCATTCACTTAAACTAAGGATTCTTTATAGCTAAGTCTCTTATTCATACAATCAATAGATGTGTAGTAGAATGCTAAGAATATAAGCATTTATAAAATATATAGAAATCCACAAAAACAGTTGTTAGTATTATTATTTAAACTTCTGAAAACAGATTTTTAAATTTCTATTCAAAATTANTTAGAAGAAAATAGTTAGCAAAGAACATGTCTATTTTGAAGAAGAAAGACGGGCAATGAGGTTATAATAAATTTTATTAGTCAGCGTTTCTTTAAAGTACTTGCTAAAAACATCTTAACGAAAATAAAACCTCAAGCCTTTTTTTACAAAACAAGAAAATAATACGATGATATAAGAAAACTACCCCATCGCGTCTAATGGAATTGAAAAGGACAGGATCATTTCATCTCATTCTAAGCTCTTTTGTAAAATTTATTAACCAGGCATCTGCTGATCAGGTATCTTAGAAGATTAGGCTTTTTCAAAGGGGTGCCTTTGATAAAAATCCTGATTTTTTTGAACAGTTGTATAGGTCATAGAAACTATCTAGAGTCAAGACTTATGCTAAAGAAACTATTCAACAAGATATTTTCATGAGTAGAATTTCAATTTTGTAGTATGATCGAGTTACGAGATATATTTATCCACAAAACATCTATAGATGACAATTTGCTTGTATACATGGCAATACTGGTCAATATATTCATATTTCATTCATTTGACCTTATTTTTATATGAAAACTTGATGAGCTTGAGATGTATGTTCAAAATTTCGACGTAAATAAATGTATAGTTGTCGAGAAACGCATGTAGACATATTCAAAAACAAAGAGTAGCTTTTTGCAGTTAGGTTCTCAAAACATTTAAACAGCTTAACAACGGAACGATATTTGTTCAAAAAATTTGTACCATCATCCTTAAAATTAGTTTCTTATACGTATATGAAAGTTAGCAAAGTCAAACAATTTCGATTGGAAACAAGCTCAGTATCTACTGATGTTGGATGACTTTTATATCTATTAACTCGGTAAAATATTTTGTACAGATTGAATAGACATAAAACTAGTAGATCTAGCTGACACTGTGCAAATCGAATTGTTATTTCTCTTACACTTAATCCATTTCACTGCATGAAAAAAATATGCTCATGGCAAAAATAGATGACAAAAAAAAACATTAAAAATTTGCTTCAAATCGAATGAAGTTTTTCACCAGCAGTGGCTCATCGTACTAGTATTACATCTATCCTATATATTTTGAATTTTTCGATGAAATAAACTCCTATCCTCGGTATCTGTAATGTATCGTGCGTATCGTACGGATCGGTTGGATCGCCATCGTATCCTCTGGATTGTGATGTATCCCGGATAAACGGAATCCGCTTTTCTCCCCTTGATTTAGGGTCAGTCAGTTTTGTACTTGTGAATTTTGAAAATCTATCTATTTTTTTTCAGGTAGATAGAGCATCCATTCACCCGTCATCTGAAGCGCCACTCGACGGGCTACACACGTATAGCTCGGTTTTTCAATATAATTTCCCATGCTGAGAAAAGTCGTCTACAATGACAGCATGAAAAAAAACGGTCTAGTGATTTTTCTATAAAAGAAATAATTTCTCATACAGAACTTGTAGAAATAAGGTGGAATAGGTAAAACAACGATGCAGAATTCAATGGATGTGTTTTCAGTGGACTCTAGAGTCTAGAGTCTAGACTGTATCCAACAGGGTTATACCAAAATTCCGAAGGAAAAAGACGAATTTTCTCAAACTTTCGTTGTACAGAGAGCTGATTGAATTGTTATGTGGCGTTATCGCGTATGCCCTTGAATGAGCGGTCTAATGACCAATGCACGACGTTTTTCGTAACAGAAATCGTAATGATTTGTTAATTTACTATCAAAGGGTTATTCAACCTTATCAACATTTGAAATCATTATTCAAGCAATTCAAGATACCAAAAGTTAATAGACGACGAAGTCATTCACGTCATGTGAATTCTAGAAGATCTATAAAAAAAAGTGTTACATCGAATGAAACAGAAACATTTTCAAGTGATGAAGAAGAAGAAGAAATTTTGATTAATCCAAATGCCGATATTGATCATGTTGATTTCTTGAATGAATCTGTATTAAATAATATCAGTGATCTTTTTTCATTTTGATATGTTTCAACGATTACGTCATCAAAAAATTTAGGAAAGGGTGGTCAGCTAGTAAGGAGAACTGATGAGCCTTAGAGGAAATGAGTCACTCAAAGATGACGTAGTCTTTCTAATTGTGTTTTTGCAATATGATGAATTGCGATACCACGCTGTTCATTGAAAGGATTATGTGATCAAGGGCTAGCGTGGTTCACGAATGTTTTTACTTTCCTATTCTAGGGAAGAGGAGGCGAAGTTAAATGGTTAATAACTTGATGGCATAGCAGCTGAATGATCCCTTTGTAAAGAACAAATTAGCACTCGTTTCGTCAGCGTGCTTATATATATATATATATCTTTACGTCATTTTGGTCATTCGTGGAAAGACGTCGAGTCATTTTTAACATCAATCGGTGGTATAACCAACAAAACATGCCACAAATGGACAAATATTTTAGTAAGCAAATATTTTGATGAATTCACAATTGAAGAGAGAGGTGGAAAAAGAGGTGATTCGTTTTGAGATTGGGTGCGGGTGTGGGTGTATTAGCGAATGTAAGATCCAGCTTCACAGCCAAATATCCACACCTACACCCATCCTCAGCCACCATTTTCGTTTATTGTTATACTAACTATTAAAAAGCTCAGTACATTCTTCAGTTTGTCTTATATATTCGTATACTTTTGTCCAAGAAAAAAAGAACAAATACTTCTATATCAAAGATAATAATTTATTTACGTCAGTTTTTTTGTCAGTTAATGCTTAGAAATGATTTCTAAATCAAATATCAATATCTGTTCTTTATAACACTTTAATATTCAATAAGAATTACGATGTTCAGAATGTTTGACATTCAAATTACAAAATTCAATTTAAAAATAAATAAGTGTCTCATATTAATGTACTATATAACTCGTTGTGTATTCCCGTAGAAAGAGCAGGTGGTTGGAAAAGGCGGATAAAAGATTAACAATTAACAATAAAGAGAAAACCGTTGAATAAGATTGTTGTTTATTAAAATTGCATATAAGCAAAGCGCGCCTTTTAAAGATTGTTTACGGCATTAAATCGCACGGCAGTAAATCGATCAAACGCTATATATATATATGAATATAGATATGATGACTCATTAGAAAGGAATTCAAAGAACATAAAAGCAACACTAACGCATATAATGTAATATATATGTTACTATATCACAAATTATTACCAGTAATAGTAATGCAGCACCCATGTTTGGGATTCGAGTGTCTCTGACTGACTCTGATAGCTAGATTAACGTTAATATCAACCTTTTACACTTAAATTAACTCAAGACAATGCCGTTCTAAATGAAGGATAATCAGGCTTCATTGGATTATGTGTTGGGTCTGTTGTTGGACAGAATTCTTTGTTGAAATCGTTGACTATGGCTATTGCATAAGCAATCAATATTGTTTATCCTTGTACAGTACTTTTTTCTTATATGCACGTACTTCTCACTAATAATGCACATTTTGTCGTAAACAGTGAAACGCAAATGGAATAAAGGAAAAAAATGCAACTAACAAGCAACATACACATGCTGCGACTGCGAGCAATAATAAAAGCAACACATACATTTAGCACTTCTTGCAGATGATGATTGATTCGATGCAATCTTCACACGCTGTTAAAAATTTTCGTTTTATTGACGACGAATATAACCCACAACTATTTCCAACCGTTAATGAATATCTAGTGAACGAACTACTTACTCTTGAGCAATGTTTAGAATCATTTGTAACGCGAATCGATCGATTAGATCAAATTATTCAAATAGCCAAAGAGAATTGTCACTTTCCCTGCGAACATTATCTTACGCATGATGAATCAGCTGCAATATTTCTATATACGATAGAATGGGATGGTACCAATCTTTACCAACTTATTACTCAAGATTTTCGTTCGCAAGAACAGTCAACTTCAAAGTTATGGTTTCCATATCTTAAACTATTCTATACTGCTATAGATAAATTGCCAAATGTTCATACTAATGTATGGCGAATTATTCCAGAAAATATGAGAAAAGAGCTAAACAAAAACGATGAATTTATCTGCTGGAGTATTACTTCATGTTCATCATCAATTGATGTTATCAGAGAATTTTCTGGAATAGGTTCAAGATTACTAATGATTGAAACAGTCACTGGAAAGAATATATCAAAGTATTCGAATTCACCAGATCAACATGAAGTTATTCTTTGTCCGGGCACTCGGTTTCGTTTCTTAAAATCGAATCTTCCAGATCCAATGCCTTTGGTAGATATCGTGTACTTGCAAGAAATAACTGATCCTAATGACGCAGAAGCAGCAAATTCTGTCACAAAAAACTGCTTGATTAGAACTTCAATATCTAAAATTTATAAAAAATGGCTAATTCTACTACTGATGCACATTATCATATTGGCATTGGCTCTATTTCTTTTTAATTCTAAAATAGAAGTATGGACTACTTTTGAATTATCAAATAGTACTGTACCATCCTTGCAGGCCATAAGACCTCTGTTTTCATTCATATATAGTCTAAGTCAAATGATGAAGAACGACAAGCTATCGATTATTCATGTGCAAATCGATGAACGCGGAAATAAATATGATTGCAAATCCAAATATTATGTCGAACTCAGTTGAGGTTATGTGCTTCATCTATCAATCTTCAAATAATGCACAACATTAAAGAATGTTTTTGAAGGAGAATGGAAAGATGGCAAGAAGCATGGTAAAGGTAAAATGAATTATGCAAATGGTCACATATATACTGGCGATTGGGTGGAAGATCTAGCGACAGGTGAAGGTATCTTCGCGTACACAAATGGTGATCAATATGAGGGACAGTATAAAAATGGTCAACGACACGGAAAAGGTTTCTATACTTACATTAACGGTGATAATTACACTGGTGATTGGCTCGAAGACAAGAAATCAGGTCAGGGTATTATCATTTGGGGTCCTAACTCTACTTGGGCCAACGACAGATATGAAGGAGAATTTTATAACGATCATATGCATGGACAAGGTACATATTATTTTGCGAATGGTGATACTTACACGGGCGGTTGGGTCATGAATCAACAGGATGGCCAGGGTATTTTTAATTTCGCTAGTGGTGATCGATTTGAGATGAACGGTTCAAAAATCTTTCATCAACATACTTTTATATTTTAGCCTTATACTTGAATTCATACTACGAGATTATTAAATATCTATAGGGAGGTTTCAAAGCTAGTAAAATGCATGGAGAAGGTACTTATTATTTTAAATCTGGTAAAAAATTAAAAGGTGACTGGATCGATGGCGAGAGAAACATCGAGCATGGAACTATAACTTGGGGAGAAAGCGATAGACCCATGACAATCAATTCAAAAATTAGTGGACATCAAATAATCGATGTCTCTGATTACATGTAGATTTAAATGACGTCATAGAGAAATATTCATAGAAAAAAATAGATGAAAAGGAACAGAAAGAAACAGAAGAAATTTCTAATGAAAACACTGTGGTGGCCGAAGAATTGGAGACTCCTGAAAATCCTTCGCTGTCCTCGTAGTTCTTTTGTGATGAAACTATAACTCAGAAGTTTCCTTTGATATGTACTCTATCAATTCTATTATAATAAATATTTTTTTTGTCTCATTACCAAAATAAACAATTCCCAATAAAATTAGAAAAGCACCATAGTTTTGTTAATCGACAGGACGTTTATAGATTGACAATCAAATTACCAATCGATTAGAGTATCGGTAAGTGTATTTAAATCAATTCAAAAACAAATCAATCTATCTCTTAACGAAAAGACAAATCAATTTGGTAGTCTCAACTCTTGTTTTTTAGCAACCGATCAAAGTCGAATTTCAGTTAAAAATATAATAATTTCTTTCTGAGCTAAATTTAAGAAAATAATTGAATAAATGTAGAGATTTATTTTGCCGACGCGTTTCATGTTTATTTTATTTAAAAATTTGAAACACTCTTCAGGGCTCTACATTTTAATTTAGCACAATTTTTTAAAATAGGTTAGCGGTGCAACGGTGGCAAACAGTCACCGGTATACCGTCATTGTTTCACCGTCACCGGTCGCACCGGCAACCGTTAACGGTTTCACCAGTGCTAGATTTTAGTTGATTCATTTGTACTCGTTGCCTTAATAGCTGGTAATTGATGTTTTAGGAACAAATTATATTCCTCAATACAATCAACGAAAATATCTCTGGTGTACAGTGGTGTCAATTCAAGCTGACTCTGTGCTAGAATCGATAGTCCAGAAAAGTTCAAATGATGAATAAAACCAACAGTTTAGAATGTTTCATTTATACATCTCTTT